CTTGATCTAATAGCAAACATTAAGTGAAAACTTAGCTTACAATACTGGACACAGTAGCAATAGCATGTATAAGGTCACCAAGGGAAAACTAATGGTAATTCTCATGGATTTACTGGTATAAACACAACAATGTTATTGCAATAACAAAATTAGGAATATACTCAACTGACACTGGCAAAAGATAGAAGGTAAATTGTGTAAAGTATGTTTCTCTATGAGTATTGCCAAACCAATTTGACAATCATATATGCAGAAATACCGGTAAGTTGCATCTCTTTATTGTGTTGTGAAGCTAACATCATTCCAAAAAAGAATTCCTTTGCAGAAATCTATTTTAGAAATCCATGTAATGTGTAGAAATCTGAGTTCTTTAACATTCTCTGAAGACTTTTGGAAAACAGAAGGATAAATGATCACTTTCAGCATATAATTTTCTATGATACAGTCGATCTACTCTTGAATAATAAGGTAGACTGGAGAATAACAACCAGAATGACGATTCACATGTCATCAGTGTAAGCTTAAACAGAAAACAGTCCTGACGAGGAACAAATGTATACCACAACAGCAACCACAGAGGGAGCGCCTGGCTTCAGATTCACTCAACTGTAGCACTTGTAGCCATTTGAGCTTGGACCAGTAGAGAGAAGAGTTCTCTTAATTTCTCCTTCTCTCGCTGTAAATCTGCTTTTCTTTCTTTCTTTTTTTTTTTAAAGATTTATTTATTTACTTTTATTAGAAAGTCAAATATACAGAGAGGAGGAGAGACAATGAGGAAGATCTTCCATCCGATGATTCACTTCCCAAGTGACCACAACAGCCGGTGCTGTGCCGATCTGAAGCCAGGAACCAGGAACTCTTCCGGATACGCCACACGGGTGCAGGGTCCCAAAGCCCTGGGCTGTCCTCTACTGCCTTCCCAGGCCACAAACAGGGAGCTGGATGGGAAGTGGAGCTGCCAGGATTAGAACCGGCGCCCGTATTGGATCCCAGGGTGTTCAAGGCGAGGACTTTAGCCACTAGGCCATGCTGCTGGGTCCTAAATCTGCTTTTCAAACAAAAATAGAATAGATTCAAATGAATGAATGAATGAATGGATGAATGAATGAAATGAAGTTGCCTCAAAAGCTTCATGGACATTATAAATAGAAGCGAATTTAATTGGGGCGTGAGAAATGAAATCCAAGCACAGAAGGTTCATATTTTCATAAATCACATATTATGAAAAAAGAAAATCAAGCCTGAATTTTAAAAGCATTTAAACCAAAATAAATTTGTCTTTTTAATCCCTTGAGATGGTATTTTTCTAAATCTCTCACTTTTTTCCATCTATTCATCAATCTAAGATCATTTAAGCTACTTCTGCATCTTGGATATTGTGAATAATATGTAAATGTTTGTGTGAGTTCATAATATCTCTCCATTTTCCTATTTATAAATCTTTTGTCCACATACCCAGAAGAGGAACTTCTGAATCATTTGGTACAATCGAATCTTTTTTTTTAATTTACAAGAATTATCAAAAAGAAGGAATGGTTTTATTCTTACTTTAATAGTGAATATTCTAATAAATGAACTTCACCTGTGACTGCTATTGCAAAAAAATTGAACATGGTAAATATCAACTACCACATTAAAAAATAGAAACATATATTTTAAAGTTTCAGATGGGATTTATTAATTTGTTTCACTAAATTATTTCATCAGTCAGACTCAAAAGCCATTATTTCCTGAGAATTTAGTTAGCCATTCAAGGAAGTATTATTGCAATGTGTATTTTGCATGTACATGACTCACAACTAAAATAGTTCAAAAATAAATATAATACATTACAAATATTCAGCAATAAGTTTTATATAAGCTTTGAATGTAAAATTCTGATACTATGAAAAAACTAATCAGAGGCCTAATGAGCATTAATTTTGTCTTTTTCCCTTAGGAATCAAAAGTTTATTTGGGAAATTTAGTTCCCATGTTCAGGGACTGGAGCTTAGAGATAATCATGGGCTGGAGGGAAGGTCTTGAGGGACACCAGACAGTAAAATGCTGCTCATGTTGCTGTGTGTACCAACCCTACTGGCAGGCGCCAGCCAATCTCTCCAGGCAGGTAGGTCGTAGCAAATACTTCACTTATAATCACATGTGTGTTTCAAGTTTCTTTAAGGCTGTGTCATTTCAAATTAAACTCAAAACTGAAATGATGGTTCAAATATCTATCTGTTGAATACTAAGTTGAATGATGCTGAGAGAATTAGGATAATGTCCAATATGACTATTAATATTCAATGGCTTATGTCCTGACATAGAATAATTAATAGTTACTAGTTAATGAAACCATGTACAAAGATAAATTGTATCTTCCCTACAATTTATGGGTGTCTTAGAGGACACATAGCACTTGACAGGAAGCAAAGATTCCCATTTATTTTTATTTTAATTGAAAGACACACAGAGAAATCAATCTTGTGTTTGGTAAACGGGAATCATTTTTTTAAAAGATCCTATTTATTTTTATTTAATTGAAAGACATATCAGAGAAAGCAATCGTCCATTGTTTTTTATTCCTCAAATACCTACAACTGGAACTGGACCATACAGAAGCCAGGGTCCAAAGCACTTGATCTTCATCTGCTATTTTCCAGGGTAATGCAGTAACAGAAAGCTCAATTAGAAGCAGAGTGGAGGTTTGCATGGCCAGGAAGAAAAATCCCACACAAGAAAGCTTCCCTGATGGTAAGGAACTGAGTCTGTGTCGCTAGTGGGTACTGAAAGTATAGATTGAAATATAGTGTTTGCTGCAGCACAATGCATGACTAACAACCTTGAGACAAAATCCGCAGTTTGAGGACAGTTGAAAGCGTTGTCAAACTCACTTCAGAAATCAAAGATTAATTTATGTGATTGTACATATCCAAATTATGACACATCCAAAGATGGAATGCTAAAATGTTAACATTAGGGAATGGATATTGGCCTCAACAGTTAAAATGCCACGTTAGATTCCCAAGCCCCTGGGTTCACATCCCAACTGGTGCTGGGTCCCTGGGAAGGAAGCAGGGATTTACTTTAAGTAGTGGGGTCCTTGTAAATCATGTGGAAACCAGTCTGAATTCTGCCTGGCTGAGAATTGCTGAGAATTTATAACATTGTTAGAACTATAAAGTGTTTCTACTCAATAATTAGCTGGAATCATGTTTGGGAAATTTAATTCAGGGGATATACTCAATCAACTAAGATTCTGAAAATATAAAGGAGTAAAGAGAAGTGTTTTTCAAAACTTTCAACTCAGTGTCATGAACTTACTGAAGAGGAAAAGAACTGTAGCTTTGCCATTGGTCACATTTCAGTGGAGGAAGGAATTAAAAATAGGTATAAATATTAAATGCCTGCAGATCATCTTCCTTCTCAAACTTTTATTATAAAACTAATACTTGCTGTTTCTGGAGCTGGTGTTCTTAAACCATGTTGCCAGAAATGAAAGATAACTTCATATCATGTCATTGAGTGTGAAAAATAATGCAATAAGTTCTTTAACCTACTGGAATTAGTTTCATTAAAACTGTGCTGTTCCAGAATTTTCCATGTCAGGTTAACCTGCTTATAATGAAGCAGTACTGTTTATGTACAAATGGTCTAGTGAATCTCATCAGTTCCTAGGAAGACATTTATTCAACATATCAGGATCGTGGAAGCAAACACTGAAAGTGTGATGGTCTGGTTGCTGACAAAGTGTGTTTCCTTTTTCTTTAAATATAACTTGTTGTAAAATGTATCCAACTTTTTATAATGTAAAATTGTAATGCATGATTTCTTTCAAGCTACACAAGTAACGTAAGCTGACTTAAAGCAAATGAATAAGAAGCCAATGTAAAAACATTCTAACCATGTTAATAAGAGTTAATAAAACTATTCTATGTTCAAATATATACATTTGTTTTCTTTTAATTTGATCAATTAAAGGAATAGGCAATTAATAAATAGCATATAACTAGCAACCCGTGTAAACAAAGTCACTTAGAACCATAATGTCATAACCTTTAGGACATACTACTAGCCAATGTCTGACTTCTCAGTAACTGTGTATTGCTGAGCATTGGTTATTAAATAAGAAATGAAAATCAGTATAAACACATATTAGAGAACTCCAGTGGAATAATAAAAATGTTATTTCAGAATCATTACCATGACTTACAAGCTGGGTTGTCTAGTTAATAATTGTACTATCCTCAACTCATTTTTAAAAAAAGAAATTAAATGTAATCAAACTTCACAAATAAAAAGTTAGGAAATAAAATTTTAACAATAGACCTTAAATAACTCAAAGGAAGTGACATAAGATAGAATGAAAGGAAGGGCTGTTGGAATAAAATAATACAGACAATGCTATGTACATCCAGGTCAAATGTGATGTACCTCAGGTCACAGCTGGTTCAAGTGGCAGAAGAAATGAGCTCAGAATGAGTTCAAAATGACGTTCAGAGGAATTGATACTAACTCTAGGCGTGTTTGTGGGCAATGAAGAAGGAAAGGTATAGCAGAAAATACTAGGAATTATTATATGAAAAAAGTCTTTTCCAAAGAAATACAAGGACACACAAGGATGAATGCTGCCAGGTACAGGCTGGACAAGACACATGTGGAAACCAAGAAAATAGTTTGCTCTGCAAAGACCACCACCACCAGGGCTGAGCCAGGGAAACCTAGGAGTCTAGAGCTTCATTCAGGCCATCTCCACAATTTCCAACGTCCCAGATACTTGGCCCATCATCTGCTGCTTTATCAGACACACGAACAGGACACTGGATCAGAAATAGAGCAGCTACATCTAAAATTACAAGATAATGTAAAAGTACACCTAAGATCTGAAAATTTTAAACATCTCTCATAAAACTTACACTGATTTTACACAACACATTTAAAACCTAGCGGACATAATATAATCCAATCATGTCTTAACTTCTTTCCATTTTTCCCCCAAAAGAGATGAACTAACAACACAAATGGCACCATGGAATTTCACCCATGTAGCTGAGTTTATTTTCATGGGGGTCTCAGACCGTCCAGAGCTGCAGATCCCCCTCTTCCTCGTGTTCCTGCTCATCTACGGGCTGACCGCACTGGGGAACCTGGGCATCATCACCCTCACCAGCGTGGACTCTCGACTGCAAACCCCCATGTACTACTTCCTCAGGCACTTGGCCATCATCAATCTTGGCAATTCTACTGTCATTGCTCCTAAAATGCTGGTTAATTACTTGTCTACCAACAAAAGTATTTCTTACTATGGGTGTGCAGCCCAATTGGGAGGATTTTTAGTTTTCATTGTGGCAGAGATTTTCATGCTATCTGCAATGGCCTATGACCGCTACGTGGCTATCTGCAACCCCTTGCTCTACATGGTGGTGGTGTCTCGGCAGATCTGCCTTCTGTTGGTTTCCCTCACCTACTTGCAGAGTCTGATCACAGCACTCACAGTCACCTCCTGTGTGTTCTCTGTGTCTTACTGCTCTTCTAATGTCATCAACCACTTTTACTGTGATGATGTCCCTCTCTTGGCTTTGTCCTGTTCGGATACCCACATCCCAGAAACAGCAGTGTTTACCTTCTCGGGGATTAACTTGTTTTTCTCCATGACGGTGGTTCTAGTCTCCTACTCCAACATTGTCCTTGCCATTGTGAGGATCCGTTCCTCAGAAGGACGAAGGAAGGCCTTTTCCACCTGTGCCTCTCACATGGTGGCCGTCACCGTGTTCTATGGCACTCTCCTTTTCATGTACTTGCAGCCCAGGACCAACCACTCCCTAGACACCGACAAGATGGCCTCTGTCTTCTACACACTGGTGATCCCCATGCTGAACCCTGTCATTTACAGCCTGAGGAACAAGGATGTGAAGGAGGCCCTGCAGAGATTCCTCAACAACCCATGCCGATCCCTCAGACTACTGTAAATTTAGAAGTATGATCATCTTCAACAAAGAACGTTCATCTTATCATGGCAACAGTGCTCTATTATGAATTGTCACTAAGAAATTGAAAGCCATCAGTTTTAAATGCAAAATTCTTATGTGTGTCCTAATTTAACAAACTCAAACAAGAAAATTATATATGTAATTTAAAATAATGTTTACATTACATTTTGTAAATAAATTTCAAGTGTCCAAATTGCTTTACAGTTTCTGAATAGGAAGAAAACTATTTGCAGATATCAGAGGTATGGCAAGAACGTTTTTATTTGAAGGTTGTAAGATCTAAGATTATCCCCCTTGTAAGTGATGTTTGCATCATTTTCTTCAAGAAATTTCATGGTCTATCTTTGTCACTTAAATATACTTTACATTCAACTTGAATTTAAAGGAAAAATTCTAAATAAAAATGATCAATACATTCAAAATAGGGCATGTGGAAAACAGGCTACATTTTTAACTTTCATTTTTTAAATTGTTTACATGTTTGAGAGGGGCACATACTCACGTGGGTCACCAATTAGCATGGGGAGGGTGAAGTTAGTGGTGCAGGTGGGTGGGATGAATTGTAATTGTTTTCTTTTTATTCTCCTGGTCTTCTGACAGCAAGCAAGGAGGGACCACTCCTTGCTGTCAAACTACACAGTACCTGGGGACAGGAGACAATCATTTGATGACAGATAAGGTGAGGAATATTCCAAGGGTGTTACTTGAGTGGTTTTCACAGTTCTGAGATATCGTTGACTTCATTGCACCAGATTTAGAAAAGAAATCTTATCAAAGACTGTTGGTTGATTAGGTCCACCAAGAGAGACAGATGCTTGCTGCAAGGCTTTGGCAGTTGTCCAAATTGGTCTACTTTCTACCCTCTGATTTGTCATTTGCTGGCCTGGATGAGCTGGCCATCATGTTCCCCAAGGGTATCTAGGCATGCTGTCTACCACATAGGCATCAGCAACTGAGGAGACCCAGTCCTGACACATGCTCTCCAAGATTTGGCCTTCTCTTGTGATTTCCAAGTGGCAGGGATTTAAGACTAGGGATGTTGTTGTGGAGTCCCCAAGCAGCCTCACTTGGGGAAACTTCAGTCTTGATTCTTGTATGTACCAGCTACTGCAGGGTCATTAACTACACCAGACAACACACAGACTGGTAAAAGGAGTTGCCTTGTCAACTCTGCCTCCAATCCATTTCTCACACGAACTGACAGGTGCCATGAACTAACCTAGCCCCTCCCACCACAGGCCTGGTCCACATACACCAATGAGTGCTGCAGTATAGTGAGGATAACCCTATTAACCCTGCCAAGGCCTGTCCTCAGCCTGGATTTTTATATGTGCCAGCATCTGCTACAGCCTAGCCCCAACCATGCTGCATTTGTTCTCTCTTTCGTGTGCACCCATAAGTGCTTCAGCTTAGCTCCCCACAGACCCAGCCCACATGCATATGCCCTAGGTGCTGTCACCTTGAGCAGCCTGGCCTGCCCACAGTTCCTGGCTTCATGTTACCAGCAGGAGCTATAATCCAGCAAGGGAATATCCATCATTCCCCTACCAGGCCTGATCCCATCTCTGGATCTTGTACCTGCCAGGGAATACTGAGATCCAGAATAGGTAAATGTTTAAAGGAGGACTCTGCTGCAGATGGATTCTCACCTGTCCACAGGGTTTTTCTCCAGCTAGAAACTTTCATGGAAACAAAAACACCTATTCACAAAAATTATTGCAATTTGCATTTCAGATCTCAATGGAAAGAAGCAAAATTAGAGGCTTATATTGTTTGTAGCACGGTTCAACTTAATTCTTACTATCATAAACAACAACAAAGAATTTCCCAGTTGTCTTTTTTATGGCTTTTCTAAGTTTTAAGTTGTATTCTGAGATACTGCCTTTGCCTTCCTATTCCTCCTATTATTAGCAATCCTGAAAGATTAAGGGTCTGAGATCAGGGTACCAACTACACATTAGAACAAGAGATTCCACTGACACCAGTGCTTCCCAGCGAGCTTTACGGGCCTTAGGAGCTATGTGCTTGTAACAGCAGGAGTTGACAATACTTATTACTGCTAGTAAATTACATTGTCACAAACACAGTTTCAGAGCAGACTAGGGAAAATTGTCTTTAAGGGCAGGGACAGAATTTTCCATAATATTGTGTGTGTTGTGAATCAGTTTCCGACACAGTTGGAACGCAAGAATCAGGAAGAAAGAAGCTCCTCATAGGCAGAGTGACATATTGGCAGAATGGTTGCTTCCAGTCCCTGAGATATCATGGTCTGCTCGACTACAGGCACCAACTCCCCGGGAAGGGGTATCTACTCGACGAGGAAGGAATGCTTCCCAGCAAAGACAGCTGCCCAAAGACTGAGATTTTCAGGCTGCCATTTGATCATGTTGGGATTCCGAATTGTGTGAATAAATAAGCAAATAAATAAGTAAATAAAAGGAAAAAAGAAGCTAAGGGTAGTTGAGGTCTTTCTCTCTCTCTCTCTCTCTTTTTTTTTTTGCTACTAAGGGTCATTTTGACTGCACAGTAGAGGTAAATGAGATTAAGTCTGGAACATCCCGAGTTTCTGTTAGGATTAGCACACTTTGTGACTATCACCAATAACATCTGCAGCTACGGAACCATTCATGGTGTAGTTCCTTTAGAAATGAATATTTGGGTTATTGCATCGCAACAGACAGGCACAACCAAACAAGGTGCTTGCTAAAGGTAACACACATGAGAATACCCAGACAAGAAGGCAGTTACATTAATGAACAGTTACACATAGGAAGATCGCAGTTGTCACAAACAATCCATCCTGTTATGAATGTGCTTGGAGTGTCTACATATATTATGTTAGGGAAATATGCTTGTTTCTAAAGAGTGCAAGCTGTATTTCAGTGTGCTTGATTTATATATTGTAAGCTAAAGAATAAATGTCACTAAAGTAATTTACCTGCTTTTACGGGAAACAGCTTAGTAGTTTCTCAGTCATACCGAGTTATAATACATTGTTCTAGGAGTTAGGATGTTGCTGTTATCTTTATTTAGAAGTAAGGTTATTCAAGAAGATGCATATGAACGCCAAGTTGAATAATTATGTGTTTATTGGACTGGGCTAAAGGACGTGCAGGTGACTGGTAAACACCATTTTGGGTTATGTCTACGAAGGTATTTCTGTAAGAGTTTAACATTTTACTTTCTGAAATCAATAAGGTGGCCATCTCTAGTGGGCTTAGGCAAAGTTTTAACACTAGAACACAGAATGTTAAACATATAAATGAGTATGCGTGAAAGTAGCATTAATGGTTTATTGAAATATTTATGAATAAATAAGTTATAATAAAGAATCAACAAATTGACTTTCTCATCTTAGGCATGAAACAGGAAGGTGGATTTAAGATTGGAAAAGTCGTCTTACTTCCTCCACCTGCTCCTCACCCACTCGCCACTGTAACTGTGACAAAGAGGGACTCACCAGCCTGAAGAGAGCAAACAAAAAACCAAAAACCTGCAGTACTTCAGGCAGCCTAGATCTATTGACTCATTCTATTGTTAGTCCCCTAACCACCCCCCAAAAAATGTACATAAAAATGAATGCTCAATAGTTTCCGTAATTTTCCTCAAATAAAAATGCTTTTATGCCACTCACTGAGATATAATATTGATTATGACTATATCTTTTTATTATTATTTATTGTTGTTATCATTTTAAGATATAGTTCCATAGGCCTTGGGATTTCCCTTAACCTCAAATCAAGTCCCCGCTCCTCCACTGAGTTTCCCAATATTATTACTATAGTAGAAGTCTTGATAAACAGTCACACGTCCATCATTGCGGGCATGGACAATGGTAGAGAGTCCAGCATCCTATTGTGAAGATACAGTTAACAGTTGCATTGGGAGTCCATCTATGATCTGGAAGTAGAGATGCATACTGCATTGTGTTCTCACTCCTGGATTAGGACTACATCTTTATATTCCTTTCATGTTTTTCCATCTATCGTCAAATAATTCCGAATATGAGCTGGTAGAGCGCTCGTATTCAACAGCTTGCCTTATACCTCTCAGGTATTCTAACTGTTACAGTTGCACCACTTCTAGATTTTTAAAATTCTGTAAGTTGAGGTATGAATTGCATGTAATCTATAAATTTCTGGCTCATGATCTTTTTTACTTTTGCAATTAATATCTAGTGCTTAGTTTTAAAGGTGATTTGTGGTTATTACTATGTAATTTACTATTACACAAATGACTTGCAGAAAGTTCTAAACAATGGTATAATTATAATCCACTTCAAAAGTCTAAAATTTTATATGAATTTAGTTTATCCTTTATTGATCTAAATATCTATCTATAGAAATTTCTTTGTCACCCGTCTGTGTATCATCAGTCTATCTCATTGGAGTATTTAAGCTCTGGCACTATTTCGTTGGTGTTGAAATAGTTGTGGTCTATATATCGGGGGTAGTAGATGTCTAGCACTTTCAAGGCCCTCTACGCATCATGTACCAATTGCTACTCACCTTCCAGGTGTGATACACAATATGTATGTATATTGGAAATTGTATTGCCATTGAAAAGTCAAATTCAATGTGCGAAGAGTACCTTCCTCTTAATTCCAGTTACATGCGTGCACACATACATACACAATTGCACATGTATATATATATATATATATATATGACAGATTACTTTTTTTAAGGTCTATTTATTTATTGGAAAGTCAGATATACAGAGAGGAGGAGAGACAGAGAGGAAGATCTTCCATCTGATGATTCACTTCCCAAGTGCGCAATGGCCGATGCTGTGCCGATCCGGAACCAGGAGCCAGGATCCAGGAACTTCTTCCGGGTCTCCCACAGGGGTGCAGGTTCCCAAGGCTTTGGGCCATCCTCAACTGCTTTCTCAGGCCACAAGCAGGGAGCTGGATGGGAAGTGGAGCTACTGGGCTTAGAACCGGCGCCCATATGGGATCCTGGCGCATTCAAGGCAAG